AGGCTCAGATAAAAGCTTCCAGGTGGGATACAAAGAGATCATTGAGTCAGCGCTATCAGCCCAAAGGCAGCTACAAAAAGAAAATGATGAGACAGGCTTTGTATTGAAAGCAACAGTGCGCAATGGACTACTGGCATATTCTTGCAATAGCCAAGGAGAGTTCAAACCCATCAAGAAGCAGCCATGGTATTCAGCTGATGAGTACCCTATGGGCACAAAGCGCATCCCAAGTGAATGGCTGCTTCCCAGGTGGGAGTGGCTGGATCAGGAGACCAAGGTGCCAATCAAGCCTGACTTTAGTTTGATGCAGCATGCCTCCCAGGTACAAGATTTGATTGAATGGTCATGCCTGCCAGCCCAGCAGCCAAGCATTGAGGGTGAGCCTAAGGTGGCTGAGGATGAGCTTGACATCCCTGACAGCTGTGTGGTTCAGGATGACCTCATCATGCCACTCCAGAATTCCTTATTTCTCTCTTTGTCCCCAGTCCTTCGAAGAGCAGCCATGAGGAGAATGCATGCAGACCAATCTTGGGCAAGCATCTTGGAGAAAGCTGATGAGGTAAAGAGAGAGAAAGCAAAGAGGCAATTGGTGAGGAATGCAGCCAGGAAATTTCTTTCCAAACAATTGCTCCAGAAAATGAGCAAAAGGGAAGCATTGGTGGAGATCAAGGCCAGGAGTTCCAACAAGAAAAGATTAGGGAAGAGAACTCTTGAGGCAGGCAAAAAGTTTAAAGATGTGAAGAAGGCTGTCAAGAAATTCAATAGCTGCAAGGCAAAGAAAGATCAACAAGCAAAAAAGCTGCTGTCTAAGAAGGGTGTGAGTGCCCTTGCTGATGCCCATGCAGCCTTGGCACCAGAGCCTGCAGCATCAGAGCCTTCAGCAGAAACAGCAGCAGCAAAGCCAGTGAAAGGTGATGAAAAGAAGCATGAGCTTGTTGGCCATCAGGTCAGACTTGTGAGTGAGGAGTGTGGCAAGAAGCACTATGGAGCTACAGGCCCTGTTAGCAGTGTGACTGGTGGAAAGGCTTGCATTCTGACAGGTCAAGGTGTAGTTCATACACCCATTGCCAACATCAGAGAGTTGGATCCCTCATGGAAGTTGCCTGCAAAGTTTTTGCCAGGCAACAAGGTGACCAGAGCAGCTTTGCAAGAGATTTTGGGGGTGAACATGAAGTGCCTTCCAGTAGCATTTGCAGAGCAAATGGATGATGAAATTATGATTATGCCCTTGGCAGAATCAGGGTACTTGGAAGATCAGCAGGTCATGGCATGCTGGGGCTGGATGAAGTGGCAGCTGAAGATTCCTGATGACATTGTGCTCTTGGACCCATCACTGCCATTCAGATTAGGCCTGAAGGAAGGATCTGCATCAGCAGAAGGAGTGCGTGATGAGATTTTGAAGATGACCAAGGGCATGAGGCAAGTGCTTGTCCCATGCCAGGGCCAGCATCCAGATCACTGGACCTTGCTGGCTGCGACTAGAGAAGGTGAAAAGTTCAGATTCAGGTACTTTGAGAGCCTTGAGGTCATGCATGAGAATTGCCTCCATTCAGCCAAGAGAGTGGCAAAAGTGCTGAATGAGGACCAGGAGGTCAACATAGCCAGAGAAAACCTCATCAGGCAGGAAGGTGCAGATTGTGGTTTCTTTGTTCTAGCCTACAGTGAGCAGGTAGCAACAGAAATCAGAGAAGGCCCAGCATCAAGAGGTTGTCCAGGAAACATCAAGGCAGACTGGGAGAAAAGGATTGTCTTCATAATGAAGGCTTTGAAGCAGGAGCATGAGAAGCTCATGCAAGCCAAGAAACAAGCAGAAAAGCAAGAGCAAGAGAGGAAGATCAAGAGAGAAAAGAAGATCAAGGAGCTGCAAGATAAGCTCAAAAAGATGAAGGATCACACCACAGCAGCTGCCATCAGTGCACAAAGCTTGCTGGATCAGAACTCCATGTTTTTCACAGCCTCCATGCTTACATCAGAGGCAATGCATAAGATATATTTGGCCCACCACCAGTCTACTGGATGCAGTAGGTGCAGGCATTCATCAGGGTGTTTGAGCTGTGATTCAACAAAGGCCATGAGTTATTGGATGAGAAAAGAGGCAAGCATGAAGGATAAAGTCTCACAATGGAAAGGACCAGGGGCTGAGGGAAGGGGGTTGTTGTTGTTGTTGTTGTTGTTGTTGTTGTTGTTGTTCTGTGTGTGTGTGTGCTGTGCATGCCTGGAGCTCAGAATCAGGTTTTGGAATCAGCTGAAAGCTGAGAATCAGCTTGGATGAATCAAGGTCTGGAAACAGCTGAAAATCAAGGTCCAGAAAACATTTAGTACTATTTGAGGGCCATTTACAATTGATTTTTGAAAAAATTAGTACTATTCGCGGGCCATTTACTATTAGGAAGTCGACATTAGTGGCAAGAATTGTGAACTTGAGCAGCTTCCAGGAATTGTTGATGATCATTCATGACGTTTCTTCCAGGGTTCCTGTATGTTCCTGTTGTCGCATGAAGTTGTACGAAGACGAGGTCCTGACTCATTGACTCAGCAGGTAGCTGCCCATGTTGTTCACATGGTACATCAAGGCTGATCACCATTTGCAATGCGCATGCCTTTGCATGCAGAGCGGGCGCGGCCCCTACGAGGCCCCTGGTTACCACCTTTGAAAGCGTGTTGGCATGTTTTGGCCCAATAGCAAGGCTGTCCGAATCCCCTGTTTCCAAATCTCCAGCTTTCAAAGAATCATCCACTTGACGAAAGAGCATGTGGGTGGACTTGGCGGTTGCGAGACGTACCAACCGAGTGAAAAGCATGTTTGGCCCCGGCCATGGAGAATCCAACGGTCCGGCGCCAGACAACGAAGCTAGGCTTCATCATGGATGACGTTCCGGAAGGTCTTTTCACGACGTCGACGCAACTGGAGAGACACATCCCAAAGAGCCATAGCTACTTGGGTCTATCCGAACTGACCTGTAACAGTCAGTAAACAATCATCATCATTTTAGAACAAGGCCTGCAACCTAACCATCATCATCCACTGTTACAGGTAATAGGATAGACCCAAGCCACAGCAACAGATTTCTTCTAGTTTGTTGAAAAGAAGCGAGGATGCCATCTAAATTCATCCACAGTTCGTGAAACCTCCAGCACAAACCTGCTAGCTCTCCTGGTTGGTTCCACTTCTCAGACAGATCAGCTTCTCGGAAGGCAAGGATCCGAAACAAATTGGCACAAGCAGAAGGAAGAAAACGTCCACAGTTTCTCATCCACCAAACACGTGAGCCGAACACGTGGCCAAGTCCGATGTAGTTGGTGGACCAAATCAGAGGTGAAGAGACAGGAATTTCCGCGGATGGCTATCACCTCCTGCTGAGCTGAGCTTCAATTCCGGGAGTTGGTTTACTTGAGAAAGAGACGTGTAGGTTGGAGGCCATCGCAAGTAACAATTTCTACAGGAAAGGTCTATTGCTGCTTCCCAAATCGAAGGCTTCCTGTATAGTGGGCAACCCAATAATGTATGGACATGCTTTAAGGATGTTGTATGCCCTCTTTTCAGGCAGTCCCTTTTGAACAACCTCATCCTGTGACTATGGCCCAGCCTCAGATGGCGCTTTTTCTGATTGGGAGAGTGCCGTTGATGTCGACGTTCGATACCGCGCTGACCTTGATGAAAGCAGGGCTCAACTCCAAGCATGTGGTTTCCCGCAATCCACCAAGAGTAGCATGATGATGCATGAGGTAAAGGTTGCTTGTGCATTTGTACACCGCATGGTGACCAATCGAGTGGTACACCATAGATTAACAGAATGAACACCGATCAACCATCAATACATCCAAACTTGCATTCAAAAGAGTAGGACACACACACAAAAGTTGTTTTATTTCACACCATATCTGGTGGCTAGCTGTATTCTGAAACTTGGGGACGAAAAGCTGATCCCTGCAAAGATCCTCGACTGTTTTAATGATTGCTCCTTTCGAGATTCCAATGGTAGGGTGGGGACATGTTCACAGCCCTGTGCCGAGCTCTTCAGCCGGGTCACACACACGGGTCGTCTTGAAAAAAGACTGCATGATTCGATTCACAAAAGCCATGCCAGAGAAACCTAAAGCCATCCACCGGGCTGTGGCTTCACATAGTTTCAACACATAAAGACACCAACAGCCATGCCAGGTGAAACTGCCCCACCAAATCGCCACAGCAGAGTCGGTTCCTTTCGCGGCACAGGGTTTGGATCCTCACCTGAAGAACCACTGGGCTTCCAAGAGCGACGAATTTCAGTCCAACTCCTTCGTCCCGTCCGCCGCGAAAAACCACCAGCGACGAATGCCGCGTTCGCGAGACTTGCGATGCGCGGTCATGCGATGCGCGAGGATGCCGAGGCTAAGTGGGCGTGTGGGACGCGTGATTGGGGCGGTGGAAAGACTCAACTGGGGAAATCAGGCACTAGGGGCATTGGCACTGGTACACCACTACGAAAGAACGGTTTATTTGGCTGAACATTTGTAACTCATTGTGAATTTTTTTTGGGGGATATGGTTTATGTCAGGCACCTTTGTTCTCTACGGTAGTTTGGTGAGTTGGGCAAACGAAAACACTCAGGACTCGTAAGAATCCCGAGACATGCATACAGAATCCATGTATAGTATATACGTATGACTTCAGGATTCTGAGCTGCAGGGCGCCTCATATGACTACATGTACAACAAACAACAAACTCCCGAGTTTACTCACATGAACCCTGAGAATTACGCCATGAATCCATGAAAGATGCTTTTCCTCTACAAACCGATGGTTTTCTGGGTCAACGTTAGTCTTCAAATGGGTGCTTCTAAATATATCTGAACATATATCCCTCACGATCCTTCGACTTCGATCCATTCGCTGGACCCGACCCCGACCCCCCTTGGGTCGCCTCGCAGGACCCCGACCCGGCGGGGGGTTCGGAACCCGGCGCCGGCGTGTCTGGCCTCAACCGCTGCGTTCCACGCCGCAAAAGACCATGGCTGAGGACTATGTGTTTTCCATCGCTGGATTTCAGAGAAAGCTGGACTCTCACTACGTGGAGGGGAAGCGTCCACCGCTCCTGGAGGCGTGGTGTGGGAGCACGGGTCCCGTTTCACCGGAGGATTCAGCGGTTCGTTTCGTGAATGCGTTCCGGCTGCTGAAAGAAAGAGATGAGCGACAAAGTGATCCCACAAAGTGACACAGAACCTGAACATATACAATGTACAATGCCAGCTTCCTATGTACAATGCCAGCCATGGCATGCTTTTGTTTGAACAACACAACAACACAACCATGTGTTGGGCTGGTCGTGTTGGTCGCCTTAGCTTCGGCGGAGATCGGGTCGCCGAACCAACCCCGGGACCTGCCGTGTGTTTATACAGTGAAACGGGAGCGATGTGGCCGGAGCTTTCCGCGGTCGGTGCAATGTGCACGACTCTGTGAAACTCGCGAAAGAGCTACTAGTAGCTTCTTGTTCCTAGTAGTAAGTTAAGAATGACTGTAAGAATGTTCCTAGTAGTAAGCCACATGTGCCCCTAGTAGCGTTCTTGCTCCTATAGTAGCGATGCCAGGAGCCCCTAGTAGCTTCTTGTTCCTAGCAGTAAG